TATTGCTGAGTAATACTGCATGGATATATCAGGTTTATTTATCCATTCATGCTGGTCTCTTTCTAATAGCTTCATGGGCATTCAGGTTTGGGGTGCAACTTTGTAGGCTCTAGGACTACAAAGACCAAGTTCATATTCCAGCTCAGCTACTCACTGTGTGACCTAGACCTCAGCTTCCTCATCTACTAAATAGGATAACAAAGGTACTCAATAGGCTTATTTTGACAATTTAAATGGGCTTAGAAGAAAGCACTTAGAATACCTTCTGAAACATAGCAAGCTCTCAGCAAATATTCATGTTTTATTCTCTTTTGACTAATTTTCTTTTGCTTTAAAACTTTTGAAATTTTTTTTATCAGGCAGATTCTGGTTGCATGTTGTCATTTCTTTTAATATGTTAAACAAAAATTGAAAAATAAGAGCTACATTGAGAATTTCCCTAGTGCCATGATAGTGTTCAGCACATGACATCATGTATAATCACATAACAAATCAATAAATAGGTATTGCCTCAATTTTTATAAATGAGGGGTGGAACCTAATTCTACTTGACAACAAAGTACCAAGGCGGTCCATGCCCTAAGCAAGATGCTTCCAGAGTGTGTTCCTTTTTAGCAGAATCAGAAACTTATACTTAACAAAAACACGGCATCTGGGGAACTCAACCCAGTGAGAGCAGGCATGTCTCTTTCTTCTTAACAATGCCCTTTTACCTTCTCCTTTCAGTTCTCAGTTCATCTGATGACTTATCAGTAATATACAACATATATAAAATCAGCCAGACAAACTGAGACATCATACTTTCCATCAGTTCTGCAAGGGTGTAAAAATAAAAATTTAAAGGTGTGTGTGTGGAGGGGGGGTGGTGGGGTGGGGTGGGGGGGAATAAAACCAGAAATGAGATCAATAGTGCCTTCTAGTGGACATTGTTAGCACTATCAAACCTGAGCTGCTGCCTTTCCAGCTGTTTGAGTTAAACTATTCCCAAACTTTATAGAGCAGATCAAAATATCTAATTGGAATAATCTTTCATATGAATATACCCAAATTCTTCCACAATTCAAATCTATCTGTAGTGAAGACAGAGCTAAAGTGTTAACATGTCCAGAAATAGCACACTTTCATGAAGTAATAATGAACCTGAATCTATTGTCTTTATATAGCCACTGCTCACCAACCAAAATCTAACAGATGAGGCTAAGTGGGAAGTTAAAAATACCTACTCAAGGTAATTTCCAGCATGATTTTAAAATGGCAACTGAGTAATCCTGAACCCCCTAGCAAGGTTTCTTGCAAGAATAAAAACAGGAAGTCTTTGACCAAGCTGTCAGAGCCTTCTTCCAAGTATAATTGGTGGAAAAATAACTCATGGAAGAAATCTAAACTTTGTTCAATGACTACTAAATATTACTACTTTACTAGGCAATTTACACACATTATATTATTTAATCTTTGCAGCATATCATATCTGACTCCTGACTCTTCCTCTTGCTAGCTAAATGGCACTGGGATAACTTGACCTGTCTGAGCCTGTTTATTCATCTATGGATAACAGCATCTCTTAGAAGTGTATAGTGAGAGTTGAATGAGCTCTTAAATGCAGAGAGCTACATACCTTAAAAGGTTATATATTTTATGTATTCACTTAAAAAAGTAGTTGCTGGTGCTGCATCTTTCCAGACCCAGGGGGTCCCTGGACTGCCTCTCCATTATCGGAGGTGGGCATAGACTATAGTTGTCTCTTTAAAAGAGCAGGTTAGGATCACTCAGTTTGGGCTCTGCTACCTTTCTACACAGAAGTGGATTTAGGAACTGTTTTATGTCCCAAATATTAGCCCTTCTTTTCTCCCACTAGATACAAGAGGAAAATTTACAGTTAAGTCCAGTTAGTTTGGGGAGGGCCATCTCTGAAATCTCAGTTCTCTGTGACGTATAACGAAGTTTCCTCCTGTATTGTCTTCCTAGAACGATGGACATGAAGTTGTCTCTTAACCTACAGACTTTAGGAGTCTTGTCAATTTAACAGTCTTTGGATCATTATGTATTTGATGGGCTAGGTTGCTTGCCATTCTTCTGAAATACCAAGCTCATTTGTGCACATTGTACATCTTCTATATCTTGTTAACTTTGCCTGTCATTCTCTTTGCATTCTTTTTCATTTGACAATGTCATTCAGTTTCAGAACCAACTCATGTATCTCCTGCTGTATGAACAAGTCCTATGTCTCCATACTTCCCTTTGGCCAAGTGACCTGCTCTGTCCCCATTGCTCACGCGGCATACTGTCAGCTTCTTCAAACTGCACTAGCCACATGTTGTAACACATCCACTTACACAGGTCTTGTCCCAAAAAGAGTCAGCTCCTAAGGGTAGGAGATGACTCATTGGAAAAGACTCTGATGCTAGGAAATATTGAGGTTAGGAGGAGAAGGAGATGACAGAGGATAAGATGGTTGGATGGCATCACTGACCCAATGGACATGAGTTTGAGCAAACTCTGGGAGATACTGAAGGACAGGGAAGCCTGGCATGCTGCATTTCATGGGGTCGCAAAGAGTCGGACACGACTGAGCGATTGAATGAGACCAAAAAGGGCTGGGGGCCATTCCCAGCTGCGGCCCTCATTTCCTGCCACACTCCCCATTTTCCCTCCCTCCCACTTCTCTGCGGTTGCATTCTAATAAAATCTTGCAAATAAACTGTTATATCAGGCTCTGTTTTTTAGGAGTCTGAACTAAAACATGTGACCCATACTTTACAAAGCGCCTGGTATAGGGGAGAAGCTTAAATACTGAGAGTCAGCAATGATTTCTGGAGATTAACACTCCAATGCATAATAGAACCACATAACACTGTAGGCAATCTGGTTCTAGCTTTCTTTTTTTTTTTCCATTTGTTTTTATTAGTTGGAGGCTAATTACTTTACAACATTGCAGTGGTTTTTGTCATACATTGAGATGAATTAGCCATGGATTTACATGTGTTCCCCATCCCGGTCCCCCCTCCCCGCTCCCTCTCCACCCGATCCCTCTGGGTCTCGTTCTAGCTTTCTTGTCCTTTAGGGATTTGTGGGAATCCAGTGAAATTTATTTTTTGGTTAAATTTATTGGTTGACATAAGCCAAAGTTGATGGCATAGTCTAGAGGAGATCTTATTTTATATTTCCAAGAAAGAGACCAAGGCTGCTGATGATTTGGTAGCTCCCCTTGATTATGATGAAGATTTCACGGAAATCAACCCTTTCCCTTTCATCGTAACAATTGCCTGTAGCTGTGCCAGATGTGTTTCCCCTATAACGAGATCAGTGCAATGTGTTTCCCCTATAACGAGATCAGTGCAATCAGAATCTTTTTATGACTGAAATATATTGAGACTTTTTCTATGAACATTTTGCTCTTTAAAAACACTTCAGACTTTCCTGGTGGCCTAGTGGCTAAGTTTCCATGCTCCCAACGCAGGAGGCTGGAGTCCTGATCCCTCGTCAGAGAACTAGATCCTACCTGCCACAACTAAGAGTTCAAATGCTGCAATGAAGACAGAAGATCCTGCATGCTGCAACTAAGAGCCAGCACAGCCAGATAAATATTGAAATAAAAAAATAAAAACATCTACTGTTCCACGTTAACTGGCTTCTTAGAAATGTTTTTGCTCTCAGACATTATTTCCCTGATAGCTCAGTTGGTAAAGAATCTGCCTGCAATGCAAGAGACCCTGGTTTGATTCTTGTCTGAGGAAGACCCTCTAAAGGGAATAGGCTACCCACTCCAGTATTCTTGGGCTTCCGTTTGTGGCTCAGCTGGTAAAGAATCCGCCTGCAATGTAGGAGACCTGGGTTCGATCCCTGGGTTGGGAAGACCCCCTGGAGAAGGGAAGGGCTACCCACTCCAGTATTCTGGCCTGGAGAATTCCATGGTCTGTGTATTCCATGAGGTCACAAAGAGTTGGACACTACTGAGCCACTTTCACTTTCATCATTTCAACAAATTTTTTCTACATTAAAATCAATCACACATAGGTTCACTGCCTTTAGTTATTTGACAAGGACTGACAGGAAATAAAGGTAAATAAACAAGATGTGGCCAGTATGTGGAGGCAGTATATTAAACAGACTGTGGAAGACGCTTCCTAGGGATTTGTCTCCATAGTGGTGCAAATGTTGAGTTAGGGTTAGGAAGCCACAAGCAGCTTGAATTAAAAAAAAAAAAATCTCATTGAAAGACTCTGAATGTAGCCATTGAGACTTTTACTGTAGATTTGTTGGCAGGATTGTCTGTGCAAGTCTTTATGTCGGTCTCTCCATTGAGGCTGGGACTCTGGGGTTTTTTCTTCCTCTTTACATCGTAGATGTTTAGGTCATGTTTGAAAGACTAAGGGGATACACAAGTGTCAGTTCTTGTTGATGTTTCTGTCTGAGAGGCTCACTTCTCCTAATTTTATAGTCCCAGAGCAGCTGCCTTGTGTTTCCCAGAGGACTTGTCTGACTCTTTGAGACCCCACGGACTGTATGCAGTCCATCAGGCTCCCGTATCCATGGAAATTTTCGGGGTAAGAAAACTGGAGCCGGTTGCCATTTCCTCCTCCAGGGGATCTTCCCGATCCGAAGATCGAATCCACGTCTGTTGCGTTTCCGGCATTGGCAAGCAGATTCTTTTACCACTGTGCCACCTGGGCCTGGAAATAAATCTACTTACTCATAAGGCCCTTTGATTGTTCACAATGGGACAAAGTACCACGGGCAGAAGGGTGTTATCAGAATTAATAAGAGGCTGTCCAGATTGGAGGGCCTCACATTTAATGTCTGTCCATGTCATACATTCTTCAAGCACCATTTCCTCTGGTATTGAACTCTGTTCCATTTATTTATTTTTGAAGTAAGCCTGTCAGCCCTACTATCTCATATTTATAGGGACACTAGTATACTCTATTTTCTTCACACCAGATTCCAGTTCTCCCCTCACCCATGAGATGACCGTTTCTAGAGAATATAGGTCAGATACTTACCTGAGTGTAATGGCCACAGACTTTGTTGCATTTCCGAGTCTTGAAGTCATAGTATTTAACTTCATCATACCAGTCTGTGATGGCTGAAGACACAGAAAAAATGGATAGAGACCCAGTCCAGAGGTTTTCTCCCAGTGAAGTGAAATTTGGGTGCAGCTTGTGGGGTGGTTTCAGCTGTTGGTTGTGTGCAAACTCACAATGGCTTGCCCATGCTTTTGCAATCTGAGCTAGTAGTGGGTCCCATGTCTGCAGAAATAAATAGGAAATAGTAGGAAAGTCAAGGCTTCAGCTCATTATACAAGAGTGTAACCACAGGGGGCAAAGTGGGAATTTGTGTGGGAGGTGAGGTGCCACGGCCGGAAAGGAGAAGGACTGTAGAGACGGGGTTCCTTCACTTGTGGAGGATCGTATTATAGTCTTTATATTCTCACTAGGGTTTGTGGGAGACATGATAATCTGGTATCAAGGAATTTAGAATCAAAGAGAGTGACACAGACCAACATTTCATGAAGGCCAATTATGTTACAAAATAATATATGCTGGTTTCACACATTTTCTGCAATTTTCATATCCCAAATAGCCCCTCTACTAGCAGGCTCCAAGAGGTTAAAAACCAGACCAAAACCACAGACCCAGGATTTAAACTCAAGCCTGATTAAAATCCTAGCCTTTCCCCTGGATCCCCCGCTGCCCTCCTGAGAAAGTCAGTACTCTGCCAGCAATAACAAAAAAAGTTGAACAGTGAAACAACAAAACCTCACAAAAATTAACAGACCAAAAAAAGAAAAATGGAGAACTAAACGCCACCTGAGACCTGAGGAAAGACGTGCCTTAAAAGAGAAGTAGACACACAGGCTGAGCTTGCTTATAACGAGAATTGAGTGGGCAGAGCAAGCGGGGTTTGCTTTGATCACAAGTGGTGAAATTACTGCACACTTTCATCACAGAAGGAAATGATCACAGGGTTCCAAGGACTCACCACCCAAATCAATCCACATCCCTTGTTTTTGACTGACTTCTGCTGCAAGCACTGAAGTTTTCTTACCATGTACAGCATATCACTGGCTGCTGGAGTCACTGCTGATCGGAACTTGTTATGCGTTCGAACACAGTCTTTGATAAAATCTTCGTTTTTGATATCTGGCAAACTATTTGCTGGAGAGGAAGAACTGGAGACCACGGAGAGCATCCAGGCAGTCAGAGCAAATGTGACTCGCATGCCCAGACTGTCTGGCATGGTGCCCCGGGGGCTGGAATCTAGAAGCACTGTAGGTTCGGAGGGTATGTGAGTCAGCTTTACAAAGCACAGCCGACTTCAGCTTTGAGAGAACAGAAAGCAAAACATGAGTTCATCACAAGTTTGAAGAAAAGGGTTTCTCCATATATGGTTTGTGGCTCATTTTGTGCCTTTAACCCCGTCTTTTCGGTGATTCTCAGTGACAGAGCACCTATTGCAACATGGATTTTTACGAGGCTGTCCCAGACTTTCATTTGAGTTGGGTGATGTTTCCAAAGGAAATTCTGGAATTTCCAGAAATAATAATCTCAATTTTAAAAGAGGTTCTGGTGGTGAAATAAAAACATATCTCTTATTTCATTAAATGTCTTGCAAAATACTTAAAAACATTTTTTTGGAGTCAAATCAGCACCCTGTGGTTAGAATATCTGGTAAAAATCATCACTTGACCTAGAATTCATTCACAGTGGTGCATGTGATGGGATTCAGTTGATTTTGTCGATCCCCACCCACCACCTCCCCGCCCCCCGCCCATCAAATGAAAAAATAAAAGTTATGTAAATTTTTAGAGGCAGCTGGCTACTACAGCTGCCAATGGATTCCTACTTTTGCAGCCCTTGCTAAACCTCTGTATGCTCTTCCCCCAGATAACAGTCCAGAGCCTATTTCCTGGCCCTTTGAAGGCAATAATCTCCTTTGAAACTTCAACATTAGCTTTGCCCATGCTCTAAATCCCTGGCTTACCTTATTTTGACAACCCTGTTCATCTACTGTTGGCCCAAAAGTTCATTCAGGTTTTGCTGCAAGATGGAAAAACACAAACAAACTTCTTGGCCAATCCAATACACTGTCATGAAAACAGTGGGCCTGCTGCAGGCACGCTAGGACGGCGTCTGTGTCTCAGACACATCCTAAGGCTTGTTTTTCATGCATTCAGATCCTTTGGCATCAAGTGCGCCCTCTTGCGCGCATGCGGTGGTGCAGCCGCTGCCTTGATTGACAGAGCCAGTAGCACATGCCAGGCTCCCCCCTTCATCTCCGTGCTCCCCAGGGGGTCAGCTAGTCTCTAAGTTCACCGGATGCAGCACCTCTTGGCATGATGACAGATCACTCACGAGCTGGATCTTTCATCCTCTCACATGCTTGCTAATACTTTTGAATTCAGCGACTTCCCCACCCCTCTCTGATGATGGGGAGTCCTGCTCTAACCTATGTGATTGCTTCGTAGTTGCAGAAATGGTCTCAAAGCCACAAGTTGCTCTCCCAGACACCCCTTGAGATAACCTAGACTGACTTCTATTTTGTGATGGTGACTGTCAATGAGATTTCTGGGGAAACACGCTAATTGGTGATGCCACAGCTTCCCCTCTGAGACTCCTGAGGCGTCTTCTTTAGCCACAGTAACAGTCAGCCCAGGTTGCTGAACTCATAGCTCTTCCTGGAGCTTGTACCCTAGCAGAAGGGAAAACGGCTGCTATTCACAGACTTCAGATGTGCTTTTGGACAAGTCATCCTCTTGGCACGTTTGGAAATGCCATGAGTTCTTAACCTCTGTAGCTATGCTCCTACTGATAATGGTCCTATGATGGCTTCCTTATCACAAGATACCATCTCCCTTCTCAAACTGCTGCTGTTCATAGTTCAGCTCATACCAAGGAAGTGCTATACCTTTAGAGAATGATCAGGCTAAAACGGTTGCTAAACATCAAGCTCCAAATGGACACCCTTATTCCCTCTCTACCCAATTTAAAAAATATTTTAAAAACTTTTAATTTTATATTGGAGTAATAGCTAATTAACTATAATGTTGTGATAATTTCAGGTGGACAGCAAGGGGACTTGACCATTTAAATCACACGGAACAATTGAAGTCCTTACTTCAGATAGAGGGTATGTATGTTCAGTGGCTCAGTCGCGTCCAACTCTTTGCGACCTCATGGACTGTCACCACCAAGTTCCTCTGTCCATGGAATTTTCCAGGCAAGAATACTGGAGTGGGTTGCCATTTCCTCCTCCAGGTTATCTTCCTGACCCAGGGATAGAACCCTTGTCTCCTGCAAGTCTCCTACGTTGGCCAGCAGATGCTTTACCACTGAGAGATGGGGGAAGTCCTGGTCGTATATCCATCCTCCCCCAAACCCCCTCCCAGCCAGGCTGCCGCATAACATTGAGCAGAGTTCCCTGTGCTATAGAGTAGGACCTTGCTGGTTATCCATTTTAAATACAGTAGTGTGTACATGTCCATCCCAAACTCCCTAATTATCCCTTTTCCTGACCCTTCCCCGACAGCAACCATAGGTTCATTGCTTTTATTCTTTTATTTTTTCCACAGTAGCAAGCAAATAGGATTTATTTTAGAGAAAAAAGTACAAAGCTCTCAGCATGACACCGAGAGGGCATAAAGTGTCCTCATTTGCTTTTATTCTTGACTGATATTATCAACCATTAAACAAATGTCCCACAATCTGAAGAAGCAAATGAACACAAAAGGGTGCCAAAAAATTACCAGATGGATACATCAGGCCAAATGGACTTTCTGTAGCCTCCTTTCCTTGACTCTTTTGACTGATATCCCATCAAGTGAGATAAATTTGCAGATGGGGGATAAGGAACAAGAAAGTTGGTTTTGCCTCGGCATCCATAAAATTTCTGACCAAATTAGTTCCCTGTGCACTCCTTGTAAACCTCCCCACACTTCTGAGAAATTCCTGGGATACCCCAGGAAATCCTCCAAGGCCACTTTCCCTTTGGGACTCTCCAAATGAATTTTATGGGTTTCCCCCTAGCTTTAGGCTAATCTCACTATTTTGCTGCTGTCTGCATGTTTCAGGGATGGACTGAATCCTATTTGACTTACATGTGGTAAAGACATTCATAACTGAGGTTATTCCTCACTGTGGCATTCCTTTATGGATTAAATCAGATCGAGGAGCTAATTTTACCTTCATAAACCACTTGCTTGCAAAAACTCTGGGGTACTCTTTAGAATTTCATGCTACATATCATCCTCAGTCATCAAGGAGAGTGGAATGTTAAAATCTAGACAAGAAAAAACTTTAGGAAAGGTTCAGAAACTGGACTTTAATGGACAGAATCTGTGCTGATGGCCCTTTTAAAGAGCCAGAATACTCCGAATAGGGCACATGGACTGAACCCTTTTGAAATGGTCTCTGGATACCCAATGTCAATTGGCATCTCTAAACCTTCCACTTCTGGGTTAAATGAAGATGATGGGAACTTAAGTGAACAATCTGATGTTATGATTAGCTATGTTCAAGAATGAGTGTACTTGAAACGAATATCATGGGGCTTGACCTCTGCTAACTGACAAGCCTTGCCATTCTTTCAACCAGGAGCCCAAGTGTACATCAAGATCTTTAGAAGAAAGCTTGTGGTGTTACCTCCATGGGAAGGACCTTATGAGGTACTAAGAACCACCTACACTGCTCCCCAAAGGAAAACCCTTCTGGATCCATGCAAACCATGCCAAAACAGGTCCGGAACATCCCTCTCAAGACACCTGGGGGAGACAGATACTACAGTCACTTTAAGGATCTCCAGGGCCAATTCCCAGGTCCCAAAAGTAGACAGCATCATGAAGCGGACAGCTTTTCCCAAGATCATACATTAAGAAACCTCACTTTCATTTATTTCCCCATCCCTGCTTTTAAGACTCCCTGTATACACACACTAAAAAGAAAAAATGACAGAAAACCACCTTTTCTTGTTAATGAATCTTTTCTCCACATGTCTAAGCATTTATTAGAGACCTAGCTGGAGAATGCTTTTCTCTTTACATCCTATTTGTCCGCTAAGTCTCCAGTATGGGCTTATTTTCAACTTGTGTCTTGCTCTTACTAACCCTCTCATAAGGGAGTAAGCCTTATGCCAATTTACCAAACCCTGGCCACATGAACTAATCAGTCTATTGATTATGTCAACACCCAGGGAGTGCAAAGTAGCCCCCATTAATCTTTGTTCTTACTAATGTGAACACAAAGTGAGCTAAGTACAGAAGGTGGATGAGTGGCCAGGTATGATATCCACAAGAAAACCATCAGTCTGCCCCTCTTTAGTGAGTCATTTGGGCCCCAGAAAAACTCTGTAGAAGCCCAAAGACTGTCCCTTACCCAGATAAAGATAATAGGTGGAAAGCTTTCTGTTTGCTTTCCTGGGTAACCTACCAGGGCAAAATCGCAAAACAAATTCTGTGGTTTGATTCCACAGGTGTAATCTTTGAATCTCTTAAGGAGATTGTAAGTGACTCTAGCAGCTCCCTTTTGGGCACAGATGTCTGTCAAATCACTACATGTCCTGGATGTCTCAGAAGTCACTGGCTGGATTTCACTGGTAGTCCAGGGCTGAGACTGCACGCTCAGTGCAGGTGGCCTGGGGTGGGGAACTAGATCCCACATGCCACAAAAGATCCTGCACTCTGCAAGGAAGATATAAGATCTTGTGTGTCACAAATAAGACCCAGCATAGCAAAGAAAAAAAAAAAAACACCTATTGCATACTTTGGGCTACTGCAGCTGTCCCCATGATAAGGCTGCCCCAAACCATAAACTATATTTGGGTGGATCAAAAATCTAAAGTTACTTGGTTAGGTGACAAATAAGCTTTATAGCTGCCAAAACCAAACTGTGGACCTCTTACATCAGTTATTTTGTTCTCTGTTTCTCTCTCACAGATTGACAGGGGCATGTGGAGAATGGAGGTGTTTGGACACTATAGCACCACTTAAAATGGTCACCCACTTCCAACAACGCAAGAGAGGACTCTACACATAGACATCACCAGATGGTCAGTAGCAAAATCAGATTGACTATGTTCTTTGCAGCCAAAGATGGAGAACCTTTATATAAGTCAGTGAAACAATACTTGGAACTTACTGTGGCTCAGATCATAAGCTCCTTAATGCAAAATTCAGGCTTAACCTGAAGAAAGTAGGGAAAACAGCTAGACCACTCAGGTATGACCTA